AGGTATGAATTCACCTCTTCTCCCCCTAGCTATGAGTGAATTGGACTGGTATACAAAAAAATTCTTAAAACCTAGAAATATTTTCTGACTTTAAATAACCTTCAAAAAGTTGAAAATAAATCAAATCAGTTAATCCTGAAATGTTTTTTTTAATCGTTTCACCCTAAGCAAGGTGGTAATGCCACTAATACACAGGGTGTTATAGGGAGTGAAAGTGAGGTGACTTATTTACATAGGAAGTTGCAAAGACTATAAATAGCTATGGCTATTACCCATGAGGCAGTTGAGTTCATACTACTTCCCGTGAGTCAGTAACACTACATTACAATGACATCGGCAATATCTAAAGAACCAAATGAACAATTATCACTGGATAATTATGAATATACACAGGCATGGCTTAGGACACTAGTAGCTAAAGCTAAACAAAAAAGCTGAAGGATTTAAAATCAGTTGGAGGAGAAAACCAAATAACTGATCTCTTCTTGGCAACTGCTGGTTGTGAGGTTATAAAATTATCAAAAATTGCACACCCAAGACAGTTGGCAGAAATGACGTGTGACGATATAAGTCAACTAATAGTGAAAAACTTAGCACCTAAGAAAAAGCTAGTGAATGCAGAGGTAGCTAAGTTTATGAATATTTCTCAGAAAGTGAATGAACCAGTTATTGAATATGTTCTGCATTTAAAACAGTCCATTAAATATTGTGCGTTTGAGAAATTGTGATTGGAAAACCAGTCACTTGAAGGGGATTTGACCCAAATATAACTGGTAAACGGCCTTCAAAATGAGGAGTATTGGCAAATGACTCTAATGCATTTACAACTCAGAAAATTGTCACTAGAACAGTGTGTTAAATTTGTTCAGCAACAAGAATTGATTCGACTATTGAGAAAGAAGTGTTGGCCATAATATGGATGACTAATAGAGCTTGTCAGTTTTTAATTGGAAAGAAATTCCTACTACGGTCTGACCATAGACCTTAAAAATTCATATTTATTCCTAGGAAGGAACTTCCTAAGATAATATCTTCTAGAATTCTAAGATGGGCCTTAATGTTAATGGCATTTGACGTTTATATTGAATATGAGAAAGGCAATACCATTCCATATGTAGACACTTTGTCAAGATTAAGGTTCATTACTTTTAAAAGTGAGGAAAAATTCAGATATTTTTTATACTGGTTCAAAACTGATATTTTGTCAATAGATAGAAATGAAGGAAGATCCCATATTGAACTGTATATTGTTCAGAATAAAAAATAATATGTGAAATAATTGCTACAGGCAGAAAGGCATTTTAAAAAGGTTAAGTACAAGTTAAAAAAAGGGTGTAATTTGTCATGGAGACTGTTAGCAACACAAAGGAGCAAAATTATAAAAAGCATACATGATGATGTTCATTGCGGAATAACATCTATGCAAAGGAGATTAAGGCAAAAGGTATGGTGGCCAGGCTATTCTACAGATGTAGAAGAATACATAAGGTGTAAAGCATGCAATGAAAGAAGAAAATTTAGGCAGACAAAAAAACATACATAACCTAAAGAGTCCCAAGCTTGGGACAGAGTACACATGGATCATGCCCATGTTGATGGAGTAGATTATTACTAATACTGGTAGTTTCGTATTCAGGCTGGCCAGAAGTAACAAAAGAAGTTTGATAATGAAACAAGTTGTTATGATGTTGATTTGGGGTTAGTAGAGACAAACGCCAAATAACACGTAACAATAAAAAGGGTTTTAATAGGTTGGTAAAAAGGTACATAAATCACATGAGTAGTCAATAACTAGCTCAGCTAAGAACTTCTCTGTCTATCTGTTTCCCTGACATGCCACTATTTAAAGTCTTTGTTCGCAGACAAGTTCATCTTCAAGAGGGGTGGTAGGTTTCCGACACAACACAAGTGTTAAGGAAGAAATGAAATTCCAAAAACACTAGTATCTGACAATGCCCCAGAGTTCTGTGAAGAGGAACTATGCCAATGGTTGAACAAAATTAGATGCAAATCATCAGAAAACACCACCATACCATCCACAATCATTAGTAGAAAGGATGGTGCAAACTATAAAAAAACAGAGTGAAAATATGTGTACAATGGAAAGAAAAGATAGAAACATTTCTTCTTAGACTGTTGCTTAGCTATAGAACAATATTGCATACTGGAAGATCGAAAAGCCTGTCTGCCCTCTTGAGTAGACAAATTTAGAGACCCAATGAAAAACTGTAGTATAAAAAGAATATTGAATCTAATCTACAAGAGGCAAGATTCATAATGCAAAATGGACAGAATACTATGATAATTGAAAAAAATGGAAATGGGATATTAGCACATGCAGACCAAGTTAGATTGCAACTTAGTAAGCCTGAAAGTAATGAAAGTTTCATGTCAATGCAAGACAAACATGACAGTGAAATTGGGAGTGATATAGACTCTGAAGATGAACAATCATTGAAGGATCACTCCCATGAAAAAAGAAAAAGATCACAATATCCCATATCTATAGAGTCTCTTAGAGAGAGGGGAAAGATAGTAAGGAGACAAAAAGTTCCCAGAAGTACCAAGGAAAATAAGGGATAAAACCTCTTCGGTACAGGGAGATGAGCTGACTCATTTAAGAAGTCACAATGACTATAAATAGTTACAGCTATTACCCATGAAGCAGTTGAGTGCATACTACTTTCTATGAGCCAATAACACTACACTACAGAAAGAGAAGACTGAGAATAAGGAAGACTGAAGAGAGAACAAAAGATGAACAGGGTTCAAGAAGACAGAAGATGACAATTAACACTGCATTTAAATTTTTGAAGATTGTAGTTATCAGGGAAGCAAGGAACCAAAGAGTATTCCACAAGTGGGAAGTGCAAGAAAAGAAATTGTTGGGGTAGAAGTGGCAATTGCATTTAGCTATTTCAATAGTAAAAAGTTGGGACTTAGTTGCCAATCTAGTAGCATGCTTAAATTCATGTATTTTGGGCACCAGAGAAAAATCTTGTCAGAGAAGTTGTCATGGAAATATCTGTAGAAAAGATGGAGGGAATCCACATTATGTTGCTGAGAAAGTGACTGAAATAGAGATGCCTAGTCAGGATTGATTACATTACAGATCCTTCTTTGGATTTTGTCAAAGATATACAGTTGGAGCACCAGACCAGATATGGTAATAGTATTCAATGCATAGACAAATGGTAGATTTAAATGTGCAAGATGGATTCTGATGAGAAAAATTTTCTGACACAAAGCAGTGACCTAGAAAGTTTCAATGAGATTTCTTTTTTCTGATAGCTATATACTGACAGTCGGAATATTTGCAGTGAAAGAAATGTGGTTTGTTACAACTGCAACCAGAGATAATTGTTTTTTCAAAAGTTTTTTTCACATTATTATAAACTAGCTTAAAACAAAAAGCACCTCTGTTCTAGCTTAGAAATCAGCAATGATAATTTTGAAGAAATAATTTTGAATCCCTCAATTCAATCCATGAAACTTCAAAACCTCACTTTAACTCTGATTCAGGCTATAAGTTCAATTCCAATCAAGACACTGATTTGGGCTGAAACTCCAATTCAGGCTGAAAATTGTGTTCTTCAAATCTCAAACTCCATGGAACTTCAATTGAGTTGAATTTTTCAAATCACAAACACTGCAGAACTTCAAAACCTCATGTCATGAAACTTCTTACTTTAACTCTGATTCTTTGGCATTTTCAAGAAATAAAATTGATTTCATCAATTCACAAAGTTTTGGAGATATTGAATTCAAAGTGAATTTAAAACAAAAAAATTTATGTTCACAAACTTTTTGTGTTACTTTAAACTCAATACTAATTAAAAACTTTTAAAATGACTAAATTTTTTTCAGTTGTTTTGAAATTTGAATTTTTAACTGTTACCTCCTCATCCAGACATAAATCCTAATGCTGAATGTTCAAGCACCAGATAAAGAACAGATTTTCAACACCGGGATCACCTTGATTCCAAAAAGGTATATGTCTGTAAAGTAAGTGTGGCCCAAGTTAGAGGGATTTCTGACACACGGATGCACAGACAGAATTTTTTTTTTATTCATTTAAGCACTCCAGATCACAGAACAAATATACAAAAATATTTTTTTAATTAAATTTTATAAAAGCTAATAGGTAGGTTCAGTTTGCTATGTAAATTAACCCCCACCCCACCTAGGCAAGCCAAAACAAATATGCTCATATGAAGTGATTTCTTAAAATGTAAAAAAAAGATTTTTTTTTACTTCTCAATCTGGAGTTCTTTTTTATATATTTCTATTGATTAAGCATTCTATATTAGAATTTATATACTTTTTTTTTACTTAATAACATTGCCTTCATTAACCTGATTAAAACTCAAGTTCTTAAATAGTCTCATCAGAGCAAGATTTTTATGGATGTTATGCATGACACCAAAGCCATTCAGAATTATCTAAACTCAGTGGTTAAAAATGATTTTGAGTGAGTGAAGCCCCTGGATCTTGGCAAAGATCATCCTTCTTTGAACATTGTGAACTGGCTCTACAGAATTGAAAACTTTAATAAATAACAGAAACCACTTGTGGCCTACCAACAGCAGCAACAACTAAAATGAATAGCACATAACTCAAATAGAAAACAATAACATAATCAAGATGTTAACATTCCACACGACTTCAAATAAAAAGCAGGAAACCCTCATCAATACTGAAAAGAGTGATAATAGCTGCTGGACTTGAAAAAGCTATTTTCCTGAAGAATTCTTTTAAGAGAAAAATTTTATAAATTTCAAGCAAAATCAGTACTGTCTCTTTGGTTAATGAATTCCAAATGTTTCCTTATAGGGAAACTGTTGATATTACTTTTACCATTGTGTAGCCCCACTGAAAGAAATGCTTTTCAAAAATTAATAATGGTTGTCTGTATATCGTCTAATAAAAATAAAATCCAGAAAATAAGCTTAAGAAATATATTTATATTTTGGATTAATTTTTGCTTTTTCTTATTTAAGGCATCAAAGGTCCCAAAAGATGGTTGTGCATTCCTTTTGGTAATATGGACCAAGAAAATGTTGCTCAGCGGAAAAAATTCCTTGATAATTATTTAAAGGTGAGTTACATGTCATATTTAGGTTTTAAATTTTAGAATATTTTCATCACTTTCAAATTTGCTCTTTTCTGTTCAGTTTTATTAACTGTAATAATTAATCTTTAAGTGTCATTGCCATCAAAATGTTGTTCAAACAATCGAATTTTGTGTTGGTATATTAATAGTCCTTGTCCTTTTTTATATCACCATTTTTTGAAGAAATAATTATTTTCTCCTTTGCTTATAAATTATATAACATAATTGTTATATAATAACATTAATAATATAGCAGGTTAATGATAAACATGAGACATAATCTCTCATGTATAAAATTATATTTTTAACCTCCAAACTTACACACTGGCCAATAGTAAGTGACTATGTGCAGCTCATCTAAACATTGATTTTACATTTTCATGTACAATGTCTGAGACTACCTTTCTCTTCTCTGTGTGGGTCTTTATGTATCTATTTTACTATTCTTCCCTACACATAAATTACAAGTGCAGTTGGGATGATAACAAAAGTCTGCATACAGTAGCTTGGAGGTTATCTATCAAGTCAAGCCTTCACTTGACTTCTCTGAAGGACACTGAGTGTAAAGTCTATTTAGGCATAATCTGGAGTGAGACATGTTCTACAGACCAAAAAAGCATGAAAATGTGTAAACATCAAGAACATGTTTGATTGTCTGAACAGATTTTTGCTTATTTTATTATGGCTTTCCAAAACATCTTGTGTTTTGATCCTCAAAATAATTTTGAATAGACATCTGTGCATTAAAAATAAAGCTCAATTTCTTTCAAATCAGATAAATTCTCAAATATTCAGTGAAATGCCCCTTGCCTTGAACGCCTATTGGAACTATCACCACAGATTTCAAGTGAAACTCTTATATATGATCACTTGCATATCTGAGCTAGAGCTGCTCAGTCTTCTCTTTCCAGTCTCAATACAGTCCAATAGTGTCTACATGACCTTGTGGATGATGATGAATTGTCTTCCACCAATTGAGCAAGTGGACGAAAGAACAAGTAGCAGAGAGAGAAACAGGAGTCATAAAAAAGCTAGTATTGCTGAGAGCAATGAAGGCTGTGAAGAGCCATGATTGCTTATAATACACTGAAATAGAGAGCGAGAACTTACTTGAGCATATGGATGGAGGAACTAGTACCACAGAGGGAAAAAGGAGATTAAAAAGAGCTCGTATTGTTAAGAGCAGCAAAAGAAAGGAAACTGGAAAGACATGATCACCTAAGAAGCATAGCATATAGAGAGTAATCTCTAAACTTAGTCACATAAATGTTTAATTATGTCAGTTTCTGTTATAAAACATTATCTGCCAGTCATTTACACAGAATAATGGTTACTTCATTGATACATGAATACAATTGATTATGTATCATGAAATTAACCACCATTGATTTTTGGTTTTGATTCTGCTATGAAATTTCTGGTAATGTTTAACATTTGAGACCACAAAATGCAGTGTGTCAAAAGAACAGTTTTCCCCCTTGACACCATTATTACTATCACTATCGCTCTATCAGCGATGTTTATTGTTTTAAAAAGCAATGATTATAATTTTAATAAAATCCAAGTATATAAAAGTTGATTTATACATTTTCTTTACTCTTTATTGACAACAAAGATATTAAACACTATTTATTTATTAGATTGATTATTTAATGTTAGCTGATTTTCTAGGCAATTTAAAAAAAAATAACATTAGTTTCAAACTTACGTTTTTCAAAAAAAGAGTGGGAAAGGAGGGTAACCTATAATTGCTGGAATTTCAGGATTTGGATTTCTATGTTAGTCTGATCCGAGTTCATGATTATAAAATAAAATTGGAGAACTAAATCAAGGAGTAATCTGAGATATAAAATAATCTCGGAAGAAAATGTATAATGTCTTAAAGATCATGTTTATTCAAATTTTCTTGTTTTATAGTGCATTAAAATTTTTATAAAATTAGGAATAAAATGGTAAATAATAAAAATTGGTTTACATAGTGTGATAATTTTGTAATTCCTTATAAATCTTTGAATAAAATGATTTGTTCTCAAATTTATTGCTTTATAAAATGGTAAATAATAAATCTTTATAAAAGTTAAATAATAAATATCACATTGTACTTGGTTTACATATTTTTATAATGTTGTAAGTAGACATTGATGCGGGAGTCAAAATTGTATACAGTAATAGCAATAATAGGGAATAACAATCTTTTTTGACTCAAAGGTTAAACATTGCCAAATTTCTTTTATTGTACATGATATGCTAACTTGTTTGTTGCTATGGCTTTTTGACAAAATTCTATTTCAGAGTGGACTATTTTGTAAAAATTACTAAAAGAAAAATTTTAATGTTTTTTTTTCTTTGTAAAATCAGAATCTGATAAAAAAAGAAGACATTTGCAACGGTCCTGAACTGAAGGAGTTCCTGGCTTATGAGGGTGATGCGCACATAGCATTTGTGCGTAAGGCGCCTGAGATAAATGTCCCACGGATTGACAAAGTAAGAAATATTTTTACTTTCAGACCAACTAGTTTTATACCTATTTTAAAAAATCACATGACATTCATATTACATTTTTAAAAATCATATCAAATTCACAATATAATTTTTGAAAAATTATATCACATTCAGATTACATTTTTGAAAAATCATATCACATTCATATTATATTTTAAAAAAATAATATAGCAATCATATAGTATTCTTAAATAAGGTTGGGTGAAACCAAATTTACAAAGATAGAATTATTATCTTCTTTTTTAAATTATTTTATTCATCTGTTCAATGACAAATATTCAATGTCAACTCCTGGATTAAATATAAAGATGATCTTTTATTTATTTTATTTATTTATTGGCATATATTAATACTTATGTTAATCTACCTTACACATTTCTTTATCTACAATTCATCCATGCAGTGAGTCTTGCTGCTGCACCTTGTTTGCTTCTTCTGCTATATACCTGGAGATTCTTGACAAAATCCAAAGAAGAATCTGCAATGCTATTGGTCCTGACCTAGCATCTCAGTTTCAGTCACTTTCCCACCACTGTAACGTGGCTTCCCTTTGCCTTTTCTATAAATATTTTCCTGGTAATTGTTCTGATGAGTTTTCCTCTTCAGTACCTCGATTTTGCGAATTTAAATGCAGTACAAGATTGGCAGCTAGGTTTCATCACTTTACTGTTAAAATTGCAAGATGTAACCATGTAATCTATGATAACTGTTTCTTCTTTTGCACTTCTTGCTTGTGGAACACTCTTCCAGCTTTTTGCTTTCCAGTCAATTTTGGCCTTCAAAAGTTTAAATGCAATGTCAATCAAACTCTCCTGTCCTTTTATTGTCCTTTCTCATTAATAATGTTTTTTTCAGATTCTTTCACACTCATTAACATCTTAATGGCTTTATAGCCTTGCTTGGGGTGAAATGATTAATATATACATACACATACACACACACATATATGTATGTATGTATGTATGTATTTATATATTAATCATAAATATATATGTGTGTGTCTGTGTGTGTATGTATATATTAATCATGAATATATATATATATATATTTTCAAGCATGTTTGGTTAAATAATCAAGGCATATTATGTTTATTTATTTTATTTTGATCCTCTCAAATTTACAGAGTTCTGTTACAAAACAGTTTTAGTTATTTTTATTTTTTATTTTCCCAAGTACTTTGTCTTGTCCAAGATCATCTTCAGAGGTAAATTGCTAAGAAAAAAAATGAATGTAATTGATAGTTGTGAATTTTTTGTAAATGTGCATGAAACACACTCTGTTATAATCTAACATATAGAATAATTTATAAAGTTTTAAATCTCTTAAATTTCCATATTAATTTGTACCCGTTAGGTGATATTGTTATTAAGTAAAAACCATATTTACTAATCTTAAACGGAAAATCTTACTACAATTCAGCAACCCCCAATATTTTAAAAAGAATTTTGAACTTTTATAAAAAATTTAAATGCAATATCAATTGTCTTCTTCTACCATCTTAAATTCTGTTCTTTTATTGTTCTTTTTCTTTACTAACATATTCTCATTTTCTTTCAATCTCGGTAAACCCTTGCATCTTAGTGGCATTATGGCCTTGCTTAGGGTGAAATGATTTTAAAACAATTTAAATTAAGATTATCCAGCTGATAATATATTCATCTGAGGAAAGTTGGCAAATGAACTACATTGCAGAAAGGAGATGAATATGATAGTAAAAAATAAGAAAAGAAGTCATTAATACAATAAATTATCTCAAAAGATTAAAAAATAGTAATGTGATTGATAAGTGACTAAAACTTTACTAAAGTTAATCTTCAACATTTTTAGAAGAGAGGGGAATCTGAGCCAAAATATTCCTTGTTTCACAAGGAATTGAATAACTGATCATATAACTACTAGTGAGCAGATTTAACCATCAACCTATTAGTCTGGATGACCTTTTAGTAAATTTTGTTTATGGTAAAAGAAATAAACTTTTCCATATCGACTTGTTTTATTTTGCAGATATTCTCATAAAAATTTGTTTATTAACAGGCATTTGTGAAGACTGTGTCTGGTGTATTAGATAAGCTGACAAACGTGCTTCCCCGTGGTTTGTCACAAGAGAAGATGACCCTCACAGGTGGTGCAGTCATAAGGAAGGACTCAACATCGTCAAACAAGAGCAACGAGGTGTCAAAATGTCTTGAGGACACAGACCAACTTCTTTTCGATTTTAACATTCCAAATGATGACGTAAGTTTAAAATATGTAATTGCTTGCATAAGTTTGTTTTTAACTCTTACATATATCTTCTTTTATATGCCACTTTTTTTTTTCAGGATGTAGCAGATCATGGCTCTCCACAACTGTCTTTTGTTGCTTTAAGTAACTTTTCTACCTTTGCCATTCCTCTTTGTCCTTTCTCTGGCATTCATTTACATTAAGTAGGCTATCCACTGTTTTCCCTTGCTTCTTTTGCCTTCATTATGTCCTGTCAACATTAAATTCTCTAAGCCCTCTTTTCTCTTTTTGCATCCAAGAAATTTCAGCTGTTTCTTTCTGATTCTAAGTCTCCTTGAAGCTCTTCTGTTTACTTAAAAGATTCTTTGTTGCTCACATCTTCCTCCCATAGTATTCTTAACATTCACCGGTAGGACCCTGTTTCTGTCACTTCAAGTGTGTTCTTCATCTGTGTGGAGAATGTCCATTTACTATCATATGGAAGATTAGATATTACATAGTTTTTTCAGCAGTTTTTACTTTTCTTAAGGACATTTTCCTTTTCTAGTTATACTTTGCTTAGTTCCTAAAAGGAATTATTGCAGGTATCTTTTTCTTAGCTAAAACTTTTAAAGGTGATTCCCTGAACTACATTCAAACAAAGATACATTGTCATGCTGCCTGAAAGTAACAAGAGACATTACTGTTTACCACTCCCATACTACCAATCTTAGTAGTCATATAAAAGAAAGAGAGGCAAATTGTGCAAGATGGGATTCAGCCAGGAAGTAAGACTGAACCATTTAGTGTGACATACATAGAAAACAATTTATAAGAAGCAAATAATAAGAAAGAAATGTACCAGTGTAGTTGGGGTATAAAATGTCTGTACCTGAAATGTACAATTGTATGAGTCTTTTTTTTTTTTTTTTTTTTTTTTTCAGGCCTATGAAATTTGTTGTTGTTATGCAGGTAGGATTTTAGGAGATGTAAATATACCTTTCTACAGCCAGTCTTGTGACTAATGTCTAGAGAAAGAATAAAAGAGAAAGAAAAGGTCTTGTTGAACCTTTTTATATTCTCTCATGTGTGATTCTCATAGGTCCTGCCTAATGTAATGTCTATTTTTGGTCATCAAAATAAGCATGACATGCAGATTTTAATTTCTGCTAAACTTCACAGTATTTTTCCTTATTCCTATACACCTTTCTGTGTCAAACTTTCCACTGTCTTTATTTACACTATTTACATTGTTCAGACTGTTGTTCTTATCTTTATTGCCATATTCATGATGTTTCGGCCATTGTACACTCCAGACTTCTTCAGGTGATATTAGTTGAAATTTCAAACTAATATCACCTGAAGGATATAGGTGTTCATGGCTCCCCACAACTTCCTATCCTTTGTAGTTCTTAGTAAGTTATATCACTCAATCCCTCTTTTGACATCCGTTACACAAGCTCCTTACGTAGATTACTTGCTGTTTACCTCCTCTCATTATGTCCTGTGAGTGTCAAATTCTTCAAGCCCTCTTTCCTTATGTGTCTTGAGAAATTTCAATTCTTTCTGATTCTAAGTGTAAACATCTTTTTGTTTCCATTTTTCTTAAGACTTCTTAGTCAATTTCAGTATCTTTCTAACACAATGATTTTTTCTTCTGGATAGACCATCCCAGTTCTTTTATCATTTAAACCCATAGCTGGAGGAGAAGAAGAATTCATTTGGCATTGTCAGTGTGGTTTGATGAACCTTCCTCTGTGCTAACTCAGGGCATCTTGGAAAGAATTTGTACTGTAACTATGATTTTTCTGGATACAAGTCTTAATATTTAACCCATAGCTGGAGGAGAAGAAGTGAATTCCTACCTTTCTCAAGGGTATTTGTATGTAAGTGAATGTAACGAACAGGCTTGGAATTCAAACTCAAGCCTCTGATTTCTTATTCCAAGCCACTATCCCTTACATCACCTGCACATCCTTAAGCATAGAGCACATGGTATTCCCAAGAGAATGGTTACTTTGTAGAACAAACTCCCAAGAGGATGCTTCCCTAACAACTACAATCTTGGTCTCTTTAAGTCCAGGGTCAACCAATATCCATCCCACATGTTCTTATGATATGCACTTTTTACTTCCTCAACTCAATCGCATTTAGTAACTTTCTGCCTTGAGTGGCCCATGTGTCTTGCATTGATGTATTGAGCAAAAAAAAAAAATGATAAAAAAGGAGAATTAATAAATAAAAAATGAGCTGAAAAAAAAAAATCAATTATTCAGCTGCTCAATATGAATCACACTTTGTCTTGTCAACGTAGGTTATGTTCATGTGAAATAAAATTTCTCCCTGCCAGAAATATTTTTGGATTGTGAAATTTTTTTTTTTTTTTAGAAATAATTTACTGATACATGTCCTACTAATTAACCCATAGTTGAGGGGAGAATAAGTGGATATATAACTTTCCCAAAGTTATTTGCTTGTAAGTGAATATAACGAACCTGAATGGAATTGGAACTCAGTTCTTTGACATTATTAAGGAGAGAGAACAATTAAAGAACTGGAAATAATGATTGACATTTCATTTAAATTCTTGAAAATTAAAGTTGGCTGGAAAGCATGGAGCTGGAAGGGAGTTCCACAAGTGAATGTACCCCTGACTACTCTCTTCTCTTTCTGCTCATCATTATTGTTTCTGTTCCTAATTCTTTCACACCCTGTAACCCCTTGTGTTTTAGTTGTATTACTGTCTTGCCCAGAATGTAACAATTAAAAAAAAATATGCTGATTAATTGAGGCAACCTGTCTCAAGCAGAAGTTTTTCAAATTGTCTTATTTGCTATTCTGTTGGATTCTCATCCAAACTTTATGTACATAGCATGTTATTTAAATTAAAGTGTCATATTCTTTGCCCTTTTTATCGACATACACAGTTTTTACTTCAGATCAGGTTTGATTATTTTTAAGAAATAAACATTTTCATTTGTAAATAAGAATAGATTTTATTATTAGATATGCAAATGTGGATGACAGATAACAGATTGAGGCATCAGACAGATTATATTTATTTTTATCTTGCCATTGTTACTGCTGCTTTCAACAGCCAACTCCATTTCCAAGGAGCAAGTGTTCAAGACTATTTCATGTGACCAATTTCCTGAGCATCATCATCAACATTTTGTTGCAGCATGTCAGCTGATGCTGTACTTCCCATATATATATATATATATATATATATATATATATATA